AAAGAAGTCTGCAAGAAAGTTTAAAGAACCTTATATATATAGAATTTGAAAATCAAAGTAAGAAAGAATTGCTTGGCATTTTGTGAAAATCTGTTTTGAAACAAGGTTTTTTATGTCTTTTTGCAAAACGTCCTTTGATTTGAGAATAAAATTTTTATTGATAAGATCATCTTGGAATTTTGAAATTACAAGGACGATTGCGAGAATCTCATTTTTGATAGTGGAGTAANCCCGAATGGTTCCATAATTATATTTGGACCCGACGGATCCATTTATTAAATACCCGAAAGTTTTGGGTCGGTTCGGGTCTCTTCAGAACCGAACCGAACCGACCCACGGACAGCCCTAACTAGTTGTTCTTGACTTGATTTGGGAGGAATCTGTTTATGGACACCACCATACCCAAGGTCTGACGCGTCTGTCTCCACAGTAATATAGGCAGTGGGGTCAAGAATTGAAAGACATGGGATACTTTTGATTGCTTTTTTGATTTTTTGGACCACTAAGGTATACTCGTGACTCCAAGGGTCAGGTTTCTTTTGCAATCTTTTGAAAAGAGGAGCACAAATGATTCTTATCTCTTTGATAAATCTCCCACATAATTGACACAACCAAGAAATATTTGAAGTCTATTTTTGTCTAGAATTTCATCAGGAAATTTATCAGTAAAATCTAGACTTCTTTGAATTGGTGTAAGTATTCTTAGATAAATGGTATGACCAAGTAACCTTATATTATTTTGACATAAAATAACTTTCTTAGCTGAAATAGCTAAATCATTTTGTTTTACAACATGAATGAANCAATAATAAAATTTTGAAATGGATTGAAAATATCATTAATAATTTTTTTGAAATCCGGAAGGGGCATTTTTGAGATCGAAAGGCATAACATTCCATTTGTATTATCCGAATGGAACATTAAAAGCAGTTTTGTACCTGTCTTCTTTTTTAATCTGAATTTGCCAAAATCCCGACTTCATATCAAATTTGGAGAAGATGACAATTTTGAATCATCTGTTTAACATATCTTTCTTTTGAGGTAAAGGATAATGAATCAATTGGAGAGCAGAATTTAGAGGTTTATAATTGATAACTAAACGAGCGACTCCTCGTTCAATTTCAGCAGAGTTATTGACATAAAAAGCTAAACAGCTCCAAGACGATTTGCTTGGCTTGATTAACTTCTTATCGAGAAGATCTTGAAAGGAAGAGAAACAATATGTTTCTTTCTTTCCCAAAATGCATTAGGAATAGTTGAACATATTTCTTTCTCTAAACACTTTTGAAAATCTGAAATTTTTTGAATAATTGAAGATTCTTGCAACTGCTTTTCAATTCTTTTGAATTTAATTTCTTCTTTGAATTTCTTGAAATTTATATTATTGACAATTTTTGAAATAGAAGCTTCTTTTAATAAATTAACATCTTTAAAATATGGAGGATTTGTAAATTTAAAAACAATTTCTTGTCCAAAAATTGTAGTGGTTAATCCTTTTGAATTTGTTGAAATGATAAATTTGAACAATAAAAGGAGTACCAAGATCACTTCTTGGTCCAAGTCTTTTACAAGGTAAAAAATTATTTTTAAAACAAATATTTGAGTTACAAACGTGAACTCTTGAAAGTTTGTATTAAATATTGAGTTTTTACCACTGGCTCCGTAGAGTTTTCTCAGTAGTTTTTTCAAAATATTTCGTAGGGATAAGTCCTTCCTTAATACAATTTTGATCGGCACCGGAATCGATTAAGACTCGAGTAAAAAGTTTGAATTCTTTATTGACAACAATAGTCATATTACAATACCATTTTTGAAGTTGAATTCGGTTAATAACATTAACATTTTCTTCTTCAATTTGAGAATGATGGGATTGTTTAGAACTAGAATGAGATTTCTTAGAATGAAAACTTTTGGAACTAGAATTTGAATCAGAATGATGAGAGTTGAGATTTGGATGAAAAGTATGAGAAGTATCATCTTCGGACGATGATGAAGATATGTTTTCAAAATCTTTGACTTTAAGATGAACAACTTCCATTTTAATATCTTGCATTTGTTTTTCAAGGTTGGAAATTTGAAATTTCATAATATTGATTTTTTATTTTAAATCAAAAGTAGAGACTTTTGAAGATTTTTCATCTTGAAATTTCTTTAAAATATAGTGCTTTTTAAAAGATTCATGAACAGAGGATGAAGAAAGAAGAGTTTTGAACTTATTTTTTAATTTTCGATCAGGAATTTGATCAATAATTTCTTGAATAAGTTCTTCCTCTTTAGTAAGAATATTTATGGTTTTACAACCACAAACTTCTTTCTTTACTTTGACTCGAAGATGATGATGAATTTGAACTATTTTCAAAATCAGAATCTTTTTAATTTTGATAAACTTGTTCAATTTCAGAATTTAAAGAGTCGGAATCAGAATTGATAAGATTGATTAGTTCAAGTTTAGTATCTTCATCACATTGAAGATTACTAATATTTCCCTTA